AAAGATATAAAATTATTTGAAACGAAGTAAAAAAAAAGTAACGTAAAAGTATTTTATTAATATTACAAATCAAAGCGATGCCACTTGATTGACGTTTAATTAATAGTATAACCCTTGATTCAACTGAATTGAGTATGAGCACATCAAAGTGCCCACCTACGTACCAAACCATTAAAGTTTTATATTTTTAATTGAATAAAACTGCTCATGTTTTACGTGATCAGAAAAAAAGTATTCAACTCGAAATAATATCAAAGTGATATATCTACGACTGATGGATCACATCGATCAAAGGCTTTGCGGTATCATTGCTTAAATCGATTTTTAAAGCAATTGAACCGAAGCGATTGAAGCATTAAAACTTGCAAAAAAAAAAAATATAACAACTTAAAAAGAAATAAAATTAAATGTTATTTTTAACCACGCGGAAGAAATATGAAACCTCTTATGAGTTTAATTATAAACGATTAAAATGACTCCGAAGTTTTCACAAACAAATGCATTATTGATCTACGTTTGCCGCTCAAAGTTGTGAATGAGATTACTTCCAATACTCCCAATATTGAACTTTGATTAGACGTTGAATTTGATGTTTTCGCAATACTAAGTACTTTTTTAAACTCCAAATATACTGGGTTCTCTGAGTATTGACTTAATGTTACCAAACTATAAGAATGTGTATTTGAAGTTAAGCACACTTCAAATCCTCTTCTTTTTCAGTCTTTTGATGTTGCCAGAGCTTTGTGACATAACCCCTCCTCAAAGACAATTATTTAAAAATTATAAACAAGGGTTTTTTTATATAAGCTTTTATATACAAAAAAAATCCAAAGGGTGAAATATTTTAAAGATATATAATCTACTTTAAAAAGTAATAATCAAAACTCGAAGAGTTTTTATTTTAGATACCAGAAATTTAATATATCTGATCCTTCTCTTGATTCTTCCTCTTGTATGGTAATTTTAAACACTATATCTACATTCCACACAACTACCTTTGAAGCAAAAATTTATGCGATAGATATATATGTTTAATTTAATCATAAATGTAACTATGAGAATCATAGAATAGCGTTAAATTATCGCCTTACGCCTTTGTAGAGAACACAGAAAGACCTCAAAACATGTGCTTAAAGTTTGCCCGGCACTAATGTATAAACGAAGGAAGTACCTAGATGAGCATCTCATATGGTATGAAGAAATGACACTCTGTGATATGAGTTCAATACAACAATTCATAGGATGTACCTAGATAGGCATCTCATATCGGATCAAAAAATGAAACTCTGTAATGTGAGTTCAAGACTACAACAATTCATAGATGAAGTTGAACCTGGCAAAACATTCAAAGTCCATGAGGAGAGAACAGCAGATTTCTAGGTGGCAGGATAAATTCTTTTAAAATAATAATAATGATAATAATCCAATAATAATACATAATGAATAGTCATAAAAAATATTAGTTATGAAATCTAGACATATAATTTTGTGAATATATTTTAACAAATAAAAACATTTAATCTATGCAAGCTACGACTAATTACATGCTTTTCGATGATCCTACGGGGAACCAACACAGTTGTAAGTATCCGTGGTTCGGATCTCTAACTATTCTACTTTAATGCAGATATTATAAAGCTACAAAGAGGCAATGAAGTAGTCATCAACACTTTCATGCTTAACATTAAACACCGCGTATACAAATAAAAACTAATATTAATTATTAATTAATTAATAATTATTATTATTATTATTATTATTAATTATTAATAATTATTATTATTAATAATTATTAATAATTATTATTATTAATTATTATTAATAATTATTATTATTTATTGTTATTATTAATTATTATTATTAATTATTATTGTCAGTTATTATTGTTAATTATTACTTCTAATTATTATTATAAATTACTATTAACTATTATTATTAAATATTATTATTAATTATTATATTAATTATTATTATTAATTATTAATATTAATTATTATTATTAATTATTACTATTAATTATTACTATCAATTATTACTATTAGTTATTATTATTAATTATTATTATGAATTATTATTATTAATTATTATTAATTAATAATTCAGAATATTTATTATTTATTATTATTAAACATTTATATAAATAATTAGTAATATTTATTATTAACAAATAAATCAAAAAAAATATTTTTTTTTGGATATACTCCCTACTGCAATTTATCAAAAATTCATTCAATACAATTATATATCAATATGATTGCCGCCTATTTTCATGACAACTATATCATCCATATATAAATATTCCTTAATGGACAAGAGTTCAAGGTCCTTTCTTAAAAAGGTCTGTATGTAAAACTTTGTTGGTGTATCTCTGAAACAAACAACTACTTTGAAAGAGCCAGATCAATAGATAGACAATGTTTAATTAATTTGTCTCGCCAAATATAAAAGCAAAAGTATATAAAACATTTTATAAAGTTAGAGACCTATCTACTTACTATACTGCAACACATCATCTCTAAAATGGTCAACTAAAAAGGTTAAAAAAAAATTGTCTAGAGAATATTAAACAAGTTTAAATTTGTAGGTCCGTAAAGAAATTCCCAATTGTAAATAGAAAAGTGAATAAAAGTAGATAAAATAAATTACAAAAATAACATTTGAATCAAATAAATTTTTGACCGACTCTACAGTTATATTGGATCTTACAAAGTTTTCGTCATAACTGACCATTTAGAAAATTTTTTTGTTTTTACTTGTATATATAGAAATTTCACAAAAAAAACATGATAATTTAGAAATCATTAACGTAAAGTATTTGAGTTAAGAAAGTAAATATAATAATAAAAATAATAATATTAACTACTACTACTACCACTTCGCATTTCATTAACTATTATTAGTGTAGCTATAAAAATATAAGTTCAATTTCCAGATCTAATTGACTTATATGGTTTTTTAAGTTTTTACATATCAAATAACAAAAACCTCAGAAATAAATTATTTATTGCAATAGCTTTTTATTTTCTTAATAATGTAATTAAAGAATGTCATTAAATTATTCATTTACATATGTACACATTCGACATGTTCACATTAATATCAA